GGCTTATAAGAGTATGATCTCAATAGATTTCTTAATGATAAATATTGGTGGTTAAGACTTTGTATTGCCTCATTTTCTCTATTTTAATCTGAAAACCCTAAATAAATTCATATAAAAGATGCCAATTTTATGGTACTTGATTTTGTATTATCAAATTTTTGACATTGAAATCAATATCTCAAGTTGGCACCGGGTCAATTCAATTTTGGAGAAAAATAGTTTTTGAAACAGTGATTTTTTTATTTTTTTTTAATGTGACATTAGCAACGATTTTGCTTTAATGTCCATTATGAATATTCTGACATTAATTTTATTAATGGATTAGGGTATCTTGATCGAAACAAATGAGATGATTGACATATATAATGGTTACCATACGAAAGCATGCCTTTGTTCCCTAGCCTTTTTCTTGAAAATGAGAATTTAAGGCTTAGAGTATGAACTTAATAGATTTCTTAGTGATAAATATTGGTGGTTTAGACTTCGTATTACCTCATTTTCTCTATTTTAATCTTAAAATCGTAAATCAATTCAGTAAAAGATGCCAATTTTTATGGTACTTGATTTCGTATTATCAAATTTTCGACATTGAATCAATATCTCAAGTCGGCACCAGTCAATTCAATTTTGGGGAAACATAGGTTTTGAAACAGTGATTTTTTTTTTTTTGTCAAAATGTGACATTAGCAATGGTTTTGCTTTAATGTCCATTATGAATATTCTCACAGTAATTTTATTAATGGATTAGAGTATCTTGATCGAAGCAAATGAGATGATTGACGTATATAATGGTTAGCATACGAAAGCATGCCTTTGTTCNATATATAATGGTTACTTTACGAAAGTATGCCTTCGTTCCCTAGCCTTTTTCTTGAAAATGAGAATTTAAGGCTTGGAGTATGAACTTAATAGATTTCTTAATGATAAATATTGGCGGTTAAGACTTCGTATTACCTCATTTTCTCTATTTTAATCAAAAAACCCTAAATCAATTCATATAAAAGATGCCAATTTTTATGGTACTTGATTTTGTATTAT